GAGACAGCCTGAGTGGGGGAGGGGCAGAGAGAGATAGAGATAGAGAGAGAATCCCAAGCAGGCTCCACGCTTTAGCACAGAGCCCTATGTGGGGCTCAAACTCACGAAACTGTGAGATCATAACCTGAGCTGAAACAGAGAGTCGGATGCTTAACTGACTGAACCACCCAGGCGCCCCTCCCTGCAGATTCTTTCAGGGGAAAGAAAGGAAGATCCTTTTTTTTTTTTTTTTTTTTTTTTTTTTTTTTTTTTTTTTCCAGTTCATTTAAACCATTTCAAAGTAACGTGTTTGGTAGATTGCCTGTAACTACCACCACCGCCCTCCGTAGGCACTTTCTCTTTTACCAACTTTTCCAGGACCTCAAGTACAGGTCAGGTGCCAGCCTCTGAGCTTCTTTCTACCTGTACAGTTATCACACTATGAGGAAACAATTGCTTCTCTCATGTGTCTCCTTGTACTGGAAATTTAGCTCCCTGGAGGATCATGTTTGTATGCCCCTAGAACAGATTGTTAACAAAAGCTAGGCTAGTGAATGAACAGTGGAGCATCACAAAAGTTATAAAAAGTATTGTGAGCTTCACTTTAAGCAATCAGGTGGCTAACTTCTACTCTGGTACCATGTTAGGGATAACAGATACTACAAGGTTTCTGATGTGGGGCAGCAGAGTTGATCTGATGGTGTTGATGAATAAAAAATCACTTTGTCTGATGGGATCAGAACTGTAGTTAGTGCAGGCTTCCTGATTGTAGGTCTGAAGTTCCTACCACTCCCTGACCCTGCTATCCTTATGAAGTGAATTTCTGTACAATGTCGCTCAAATAATATGTGTCTGTTGAATGACTGACATAGTAGAAAGTGAGCTCCCCCAAATGTCAGTTTATAAGGTGTTTAAAAAACAAAACATTTATGTGACTTGTTTTTCTGTTTTTGTAAATGGTATGCCAAGACATTTATTTGTCTTTGGAATAGAATAATGATTATGAAAAATTCTGGGAAGGATGAGAATTGTCTTAGTTTAGTAATGAAAGAGTTTCAGGATACTTTGTGTATTTATATTTCTCTCATGGAGAATGAGAAATCAATGTACTGGGAAAGCTTTTTGCTAATGCACTTCTATGCATAAATAGAGTCTTCTTAAACTAAGTGCTATTTGATAGTCATAGTTGTGAGTGTTCATGCAATTTTCTCTGTGCTGTGTGGTGTATGTGAGCATGCACCTGTCTATATTACCAGGTCCATGATTGTTATATATAAGATTTCTTCCTCAGGGTCTCTTTCCTTTGCATTTCCACTGCCTCTGCCTTAGTTCTTATTTAAATTTTAAAACACAGATTTTTAGATTTAAAAATATGCACCCATTGTAAAAAAAATGAAAATCACACAGATATTTTAAAAGATCTCTTCATCCTTCGCCAAACATGTTCTGCTACCTGAGGTGGCATCATGGGCATGTGACCTTGGGCGTTGCACAGAGTCCGTGTAGCAGGAGGGCCCAGTGCTCACGCTATTGCTTTGTGGTTGCCTTCTTGGGAATCTTAATAATTTTGAACACAGGCTACTGCATTTTCATTTTGCCCTGGGCCTCGCAAAATATGTCGCTGGTCCCATCACCACCCTACCCTTCTCCCACTCCCTTTCACTTATGTGATCATTTGTTTTGTTGTTGTTGTTGTTGTCGTTTTTGAGAGAGACAGAGCTGGGGAGAGGGACAGAGATCCAGATGTTCTGTGCTCAATGCTGAGCCTTTCACAGGGCTCAATCTCACAAAAGAACCATGACCTGAACCAAAATCAAGAATTGGATGCTCAACCAAATGAGCCACTCAGGTGCCCTCCTATGTAATCATTCTTAACTGTGTTACTTCCAAAATTTTTCTGTATGTGTAGGCATGCTTGTATGTATGTATTAAGTTTTTATATTAGTGGCATTATTGTATACATATACTATTGAATATATACTAACTTTGAATCTGTACTTCTTTAGAAATCTATACTTAGAATCTATACTTTCTTTGACTCTTCAATGTTGCATGATGGAATTTTTCCACGAAACAGCCTCTGCTTCCCTAGCACCCACTTCCTCCCCGCCGTAGGCAGTCTCCATACTGCTGCAGAAAGATTTTTCTAATTCTGGCTGTGTCATTCCTCTGCTAAAAATGTACAATGCTTCCCTGTTGTGTATAGAAAACTTTAGCATCCTGGTAAACAAATCAGACTCTGTAGAATCACTGCCAGCATGCTAACAAATTGGAGTTCTGAGCACGAAGGTCCGAATAGCACCTCTGGACTAAGAGAATCTTTAAGAGAAGCCCCCCCCCACCCCAAGCAGCCAGCTAGCTGGTCTCTGCCAGGAGCACCTTATCTGCATATCGGGGTTATTTTTAGAGTTTGCAACATTCTGTCTCCCTACCTAACAGACAGAAAGAGGGATCTTCCTTTTTTCTTATCATTACTTTGTAGAGTTGCTAATAATCTACCTTGAAATTAGCAAAGACCATATCATTTGTGTCCCTTCCCCGTGTCCCCCCACCCTGGGTTTATTTATGTGTTGAAACCCTACCCCCTCGAGTGATAGTACTAGAAGGTGGAACATTTGGAAGGTAATTAGGTTTAGATGAGGTCATGAGGGTGGGGCCTCCATGATGGGATTAGTGTCCTTAGAAGGAGAGGAGACCAGAGCTCTCTGCCCTGTGAGAACAACAGAAAGGCAGCCAATGGAAGCTGGGAAGGAACTCTCACCAGAATCCAACCCTGCTGGTCTCCAGATCTCAGAGATCTCAGCCTACAGAACTATGGGGAATGACCCCAGTCTATGATATTTTAACACAGAGAAGGAAAAGGGCTTTTAGCTTCCTACAAAGCTGATTAATCTACAGCATAGGATTAGATCATATAGGCTTCTTTTATTTTACAGAGGAATAAAATGAGCCCAGGAAATAATATGTGTCATGTCAAAAGCCATGGAATTTAGTTATGAACTTAAATGAACATCTACTGCCTTTCAGGTTAATAGACTGTGACATCTTGGAATTTTCCCGAATGCTCTAAATTCTGAGGTCGGAACAGTATCCTGGAAGAGTTTAGAGAAGTCTGACTGTTATAGCAACAACTATTTTCATTGCTTCCAGTCCTGCATTTCTAAGATGTCGATGTTGGGTTATCCAAGTTGGTGGTTAAAAATGTCAGAGTAGTAGCCACACATACATGTGTGATCATGGGAGAATTACTCAATCTCTCTGAGCTTTAAATTTCTTAAGTAGAAAACAGATACAATATCTACCTCACAGATTTGTGATGAGAAATAAGTAAGATTTTAATTTATTTGTTTACTCTACAAATATCTGTTAAGTGACTATTACGTATCAAAAAGTTGTGCTAAGCAGTGATTCAAACATGTTCCCTGTCCTCATGAAGCTTACAGTTTGGTCAGACATAAGGTATGAAGTTAGCAGCACACCTAGTTCCTTGCACACAATCAATTCTCTGTTAATAAGAATATTAAGTGACAGTTAATAAAAGTCTAAATGTTTGGTTTCTTCTCTTTTTTATCTTTTAAAAAACTTTTTAAATGTTTATTTATTTTTGAGAGAGAGAGACACAGCATGAGCAGGAGAGGGGCAGAGAGAGAGGGAAACAGAATCTGAAGCAGGCTTCAGGTTCCGAGCTGTCAGCACAGAGCCCGACATGGGTCTCGAACTCACAAACCTTGAGATCATGACCGGAGCTGAAATCAGTGGCTTAATCGACTGAGCCACCCAGGTGCACCTCTTTCATTTTAAATTTTTTTTAACGTTTATTTATTTTTGAGAGACAGAGAGAGATGAACTGCAAGCAGGGGATGGGCAGAGAGAGAGGGAGACACAATCCGAAGCAGGCTCCAGGCTCTGAGCCGTCAGCAGAGAGCCTGACGCAGGTCTTGAACCCATTAACTGTGAGATCATGACTCGAGCCAAAGTTGGATGCTTAATCAACTGAGCCACCCAGGTGCCCCTCCCCCTTGCTTTCCTTTTTAAAAGTAAGTAATACTGATGCTTTTATATTTAGAGATACTCTCAGTCATGAAAATTGGTGCAGTTGTATTGGAATCACCATGAAGAAATGTCCATCCTCCTGCCCTGCCCCTCACCCCCTGTCATTCTTTTTAAATTATTTGCTAGTAGAAAATCTAACCATAGGCCTAATCTGAAAAGCTGGCATACATTCATTCCAGTGCTCATTTCCTTTTGCATTAATAGAACTTAAAAAAAAATCAGTTTTGGAACTCCGTGTGGCCCATCTGTGAGAGCTTACAAACAGTTTGTAAGGAAAGAACTTTGAAAATCTGGGTAAGAATTACTTACTTCATGTTAACCAAGCATCTCAGTCTATGTGCCCGGTTCGCACGTCCAAGGGCTCTGCCGGAATCTACCTACTCAGAGTGCGCCTAGTAAGAAGACACTGCGTGTCCAACAAATCAGCTTAGAAGCCTCACTAAAGCAAAGGCAGCCTAGTGAGGTCCGTTTGAGACCTGCCCGGGAATGTGAAAGAAGATCAGGAAGGTTAGTGTCTCATGCACCCAGGAAGCTCTAGCAGAAGTGAGTCTTACATGCAAGAACATTTCATGGCTTGTGCAAGCGAGCTGCAGACGTCGGCTGTCACCGCAGTGCCTCGCTAGAGCTGCAGTTAGACCAGGCCAGCTGCTCTGAACCGCCATCTGTCAGTTGACGTGGCAAGCGCTCACTTTGTGCTGAGAAAAACCAGCATGGAATTGGGTCAGCACAGGACATGACTTTAATATCCTCCATCTGTCAAGTAGACGTATTTGGAAATAATTGAGCAAGAATTGTTAAGGCTCTTCTATTCTAACATTTGCCCATGATTCAAAAAGCCAGACTGCATTGCATTAGTTATCCTCTGCAGAGTAAGAGAGCAGGAACTGGTCTACTAAATACAACAGCGTGGCTTTTGGTGATGCAGGTGGCAGAAATTAAAGGCTTCCCCTGCCGGATCCGGAACTTACCTTCCTTCCCCCCAGGCACCGCTGGAGTTGAGGCTTAGTTAGAACGCTGTACTGGCAGTTCTGAGGCTGCCACGTTATCTCTCTCCAGTCACAGGTCCTGTTGTCTGAACAGCTAAGGCAAGGCACGATCCATTGGCCTGGAATAGACAGCAGGACCTTTGTTCACATTCTACTAGTGAAATTACAGCTTGCAAGTTACTTTAGAATTCAGTTATGGCACAGTATTATAAATATTACAGTGAGAAGACCACTCTTGTGTACATCTGTGGAACGACGCATGCCCCCCTGACAACCAAACAGAATTGCAACAGGTAAAAATATTCTGAAAGAACACAGTCCATGCTGAAGTCAAGTACGGGTCCTGCTCTGTGAAACTGCCTCCTTACAAAAAACTAAGTGCTTGGGTACTACTCAATTATTACTTGTTTTTAAAGAGTACACTAGGCACTTAATAGAACCAAAGTAGATGGGAAGCCACTGATATCAAGGTAATTGACCACTAATCTTTATTAGCGTGAGACATGCTTAGCTTAACAATCCAATAATAGATCTATCCCCTGCCTTCAAGAGAGTCAAGACATAAGAGAATTACTTCAATATACTGCTAATTTGTTATTTCGAAGACTAGTTATTGCTCTTAATTTGATCGGTGACCTTTTTGGTGTGAATCTCTTCAGCTCTTTCTAGCTCTGTGGCCTTCATTTCTCCAGCCCTTAGATGAGGTATGTACTGTTCTCCCACGGTTGATGGGAGGACTGAATGGGATAATGTGCTTAACATATCTAGCACAATTACAATATCGTATTTATCTTTGTTACTAGCTGACTTCAGGCCCAGAGTAGGTCATAAGCTTTAGTAAATGTTTATAAGATAAATGAATATTCTCAACATTTGCGATCTTTTCTATTTTAGTGATAAAGTAATATGTATCCAAAACGCATCAGCTTTTAGTGTGAGTAGAGATGTTCATAATCAGAAAAAAAATCAAGAAGGGATTTTTTATTTTTGTTTTTTCCTTCTTCATCTTTTCAGAAATGGAGTTTGAACTAGAACGTTGAATACAGAGTGGTTATTTATATCCTTTGTGGAGAACGCCCTGACGTCTCCAACAATCACATGCTCTACCCTAAAGGTCTTGCTTATGTTACCACTAGATGTTTCTCTTCAAAACATTGAGGAGCCAAATATTCCCAGCTACTTTTTGAGTTAGAAAGAAAAAAAATTAACAACTTTGTCCATTCTGGCTTTGATTTGTGGTTCTGCTAACAAAAGTATCTGGTGTGGCATTAGAGGGAAGAATCTCTACTTTTGAGCAATGAATATGGTGTGCTTCCATTGCATGACTTCAAGGATGTCACAATCATGTGAGTGTTTTTGGAAATAGTTAGAAATGATAAAATACGAGAGGAGGTTTAGCTTATGGCCTCCTAGTTGATCACAGAAAAGAAAAAAAGAAGTGTGGGTATATTAAGAGAGAACTGGGGGAGATGAAAGAAAATAGTACTCTCTAGGAGGATTTTAACCTAAAAGGTTATTGAAGTATTTACCCTACAAGATGTTAGGTGCTACTGATGTTAAAATATAATAATTTTAAAAAATAGTTAACATTTCATAGCACCTGCCAGAGGTTAGGGATATTCTGAGCACTTTCATATATTAACATATTTAAGCCTCTTAACTACAATGTTAAGCCTCAAAAAATTTACAGTCAGGTTAGAGGGTTACAATTTATACATGTAAAATAGTTACAGCATAATAAAAAAGGCATAATTGAGTAAAAATAGCTGCGTGGTATGAAAAGAGTCCGGGCTCTAGAGACACACACACCTGAGCTCTGCCTCTAGCTAGTTCTGTGGACCTCAGCACTGCATGTTAGAGTCACCTAAAAAGCTTTTTAAAAATCCCCATGCTCAGATCGTATGCTGGACCAATTTAATCAGAACCACCCGGTATGGAACTCAGGCGTCGGTGTTTTTTAAATGCTTTTCAGGTGATTCCAATATACAGCCACAGTTGCGAACCACTGTTTGGCTTGAAAAAATTACTTAATATTCTCTCTATGAGGAAAATACATATGGCACCTGCCATAGTGCCTGATACCCAGCAGTCGGTGAATATATTTTACTCCGCCGCCCCCACCTCAAGTAAGCCGTGGTAGTTCAGAATAAAGAAAGCATCACAGAAGTCAGAATTGTCATGGAGCCCTTGAAATGTGTTCACGTCTTCTGGATAGACAAGATTTGGAAAGATGGAATGGGTGGCACTTTGGGTGACGAAGCCACCCTGACAGCAGGGACTGAAGAAATAAGTGGCTTCTACAAAAGATTACATATAGGAGAGAAAAAGGTCTGCTCGGTAAAAGGCATTTCCAAAGTTTCCAAATGTAGAGAAGAGCAGTGCTACTAAAAGATGGAGAGGTGCTGGTTTTTGAATGGCAATGTGAAGATTATCCTCCAAAATGCTTGTTTCTCCATCCATTTCTGTTTTGTGATTTTTCTGTGGTTTTCATTTAGAATATAACTTGCTTCTAATTCTGACTTTGTCCTGGAATATAGGGTTTGTAATCAGTAACCGATTTCTTCACATCTTCACATCTTCATGATGATTTGTGTTCAGTGGGCATCCTCTTGAATGGAGTGGAATGGGCTTTGGGTCTTGTGTCCACCCTCCTCTTTGCCAGATGAGGTAAACTGAGGCCACAAGAATTAAATGGTAGAAATGGGGTCATGCTGAACCAGTCATTAACCAGTCATTAACTGAAGTCTTGGAGTCTCCAATTTTCTGATCCTTTTGTCGTATTAGGCGAGGTTAGCACAAAATCATCAGTTGAAAATGAAATATGGCCCAATGGTCTCTTTGGTAGCACTTGTTTATAGGAAAGCCCACATCAGGTTGTTTTAATGAATGTCTTTATTTTAAAAATCTGGATTTATTTAGTGGGTTCACCTGTTGATGGAGACTATGTTTAAAAAAAGATGGGTAATTTTCTTTCTAATAGGATGGTGGGTATGTCGGGGACATAAATGTGTTTCTGCTAATGAGATTATATCTAATAATATTTTGAAGGTCTCTGTTTTCATCAGATCCTTGAGTATTTAAGGGCACATGCATCCTCTCCCCCAGACATTTTGTCCTGCTCTAACCTTGCTGACAGCTAATTTTGTACAAGCTGAGGTCTTCTTTGGCCATTTGCTTCTAAAGCTGAAGAAATAAGTGGCCAATTGCATTCACAAAAATCCAAATATGGGCACAATTAGTTTGTGGGCATAAAATCTCATGCACATCAAAAGGACTCCTGATTGGGTCTCTGAAATCTTGGCCCCAATGCTTCATACTACTATATATTTATACAGTCATAACTCTTTGCATTTTTGTATTGGTTTAAAATGCCCCCCCTTTTTTATTGTGATTTAGTAATGCTGCTTGAAATAGACATCTGTATAACATCTGCAAGACTGGAGTTTCTTGACATTTTAAATGATACCAGCTCTTAACTAAAATTGTCAAAAAGAGGGACATGAATTCTATGTTATATATTTAAACATTGAATGAATCAAAGCTGTGATTTCTGAAATAGAGTATGACATATGTTTTAGGGAATGACATTCTGAGGAATAAATAGGGCTTTTGGGAGAAGTTATTTGGTTTATAATTATAGCTTTATATTTAATGCAAGTTAGATTCCAGCCATTTAAGTGAATCAGATTGGCTGACATAATGGAGGGAAGAAACTCAACTTTGTGACCTAGGGCCATGCTGAGATGTAAAATCATATAGATGGCACTAAATCCTGACTCTACACTGTTACAAAATAAAGCAGTTTTCCCTTAAGAAGAAAAAAACACATCATATTTTCAACACTAGGAGTATTAAAGTATAAGTTGTCATATTCCCTTGCTACAAATAAAACATGATAAAATATTTTTGTTTATATGTCGTAAAATGCCTTTGGAGTTATTTTCCTTTAAGGTAATTATCATTCAAAATCATTGTATAAATTTCTTCTTTCTTTAGATTAGAATTATTTTTTCTTTCTTAAGCAAGAACTTTTATTCTTAGGCTGTGTTTTATAGTTAGATTCTCCTCTAAAGGCTTAAAATCAACTTAAAAATATGAACAAAAGTCACGCAAAATGATACTAGCTAGCGTTATCGAAAAGACACGTAAACCATCATTTCGTTGGCAAGGTGAAAAAAACGGACCCAGTTCTGCTAAATAGCTGTAATGTGCTGTGAAAATAAGATTTCAGAACTAATCTATGGTCATGCAAGTTAAGGCTGGACTTCCTAAATAAACTTCCTCCCAATGTTGTCCCACCGTGACAGCTTCTTTCAGCAGGAGGGAGTCCCACCATCAAGGAAGGAAATCGTCTCTGGCAACAAAAACTCCATTCGCACAAACTGCTGTTGCCGATCTCACTTATTTGTTTGGAATCTTTAGATCTTTAGGGCCATAAGAGTGAAGCAGTTTTCCCTGGTCGATTGTGCCCTGACTGCTCGCAATCTTCTGTGGAAAGGAGGAGGGCTTGGATCTTGGTTTTAGTTCAGCAATCATTTTTGAATCATCTTAGACACTGAAAGATGCATGAGGGACAAATCTCTGCTCTGGAGAAAGACAATCTAGGGCAGTCATCATTAAAAACGAACTGCTAATGCACCCTTACTATATTAATACACACACACTGTAATGTAGGTACCTATACTTCCATATCGATGCATTATGTTTGTTATAAAACAAAAATAAGAATGATTAGACATAAATAAATGTGTATGTATTTTAAGCTTTACTGGCTTCATCTTGGGGACTGTCCCATGCCACTCCCTCCGCTTGCTCAGATGTACCATTCCACTTTGAAAACTACTGATTAGAGAAAGAGAGAGAAATTAAACACTTGAAACATAATGAAGTAAGTGCTATGGTAGACATGTGCCCAAAGTATTCTGGGGAGCTAATCAGGGGGTGGGGTGGTAAGGAGAGGCTTCCTGGAGAGGAAAATATAGCATCGGGAGACCTGGACCAAGATGAGAAGACTTTTAGGAGCACAGGACAGCATGGACAAGAATGTGGAACCCTGCAGCAGCATTATTGGCATGAAGTGAAACCAAGAGGCTGGGAGGAGCTGGGAGAGAGGAAGGGCCAGATTATGGGGGCCTAGAAGGGTCAGATTACGAGGCCTGGTATCGTCGGGCTAAGAGACATGGGCTTGACTGGGGAGTCAATTTTGGGGTCTTCTCTAAAGAAGCCTCGCTACTCAAGTTACCAGAAGGTCCCTGTTCGAAGGCAGCATCTCCTGTTAAGGACCAGGCATGGAGATAGCTTCATGACAGGGCCTGGCGTAAGTTACAGCAAATTTAATGAACAGAAAAAGATGCCACTTCTTGAGGAATCTCAGGACCATATCTTCAACTTTTTGTTGATGAACTTTTGACTTGGTTCAATAGCAGGAAGAAAGTTAAGTTGTTTTATGATTCTCATAAAATGTCATCTGATAAAGAAAATCCGTAACTAGACACATCGGGGTCTCCTTTGTATGTAAGAGTGTATATCTCATTTAGGTGAGAATCATAAATCATACCTCCTGACATGTCATAATGGGTAAATCCCTCCCTACGCAGCGACTGTAATTTATTATTTAGAACACATGTTCAAGAACAGGGATATGCCCACGCTTGCTCACCGTGCGTGCCAAATTGCGATTTGTACTGCTCATTTGTGAAACTCATTTCCCATTCAGGTTGTGGTGTGAAGTTCATGGTGAGGGTAGAAAAGCTCCTGAGTGTTTTCTTAGACTTTTTAGATGAAGGGAGACTTAGATGAAGGGAGACTTTTTAGATGAAGGGGTCGTGAGGCCAGATGGGCAAGCAGGAATCTCAGAGAAGATGCTCCCTGTTCCTCTTATCTTTTTGGAGGCATTTTTGGTCCCCACCTTTGGATTGACCCCACTAGACTCCACTGAAAGAAAAGTGCTGGGGAAGGAGAGAAACAGGGAAAGTGGATAGTGGCACCAAGGTGTCTCATTCCAGGTCTGTTCTAGAATCAGGCAGGATTCAACACTATAATTCCAATTTGACATTATGATTTTCCTGCTTCTATTAATGCTCAATATATGGGAGACATGAGAGATCATTCTCAAGGATTTTTTTTTTATATAATCAAAGGAAATTAAACTTGTTTCCTTAAGACAGTTCTTTGGCTGACATAGTCTACGTACTCTGTAGAAATTATAGTACTAAGTGAACTGATAGTGTGAACAAGTCAGATTCCCTGTCCTCGTACAGCTCACAATCTGGGAAGACTGACACCAAAGAATTAATTACATACTTAGCATTTAAATAATTGTGGAAACTCTCATGGAAGAAAAGCATGGAGTACTATGAAAATGTATAATAAAGAAACAAATCAGAGGCTGAAGAAAGGCTTTCTGGCACAAGTGACTTTTTGGCTGATATCTGTAGATGAATATGGATTCACAAGGCAAAGAGCGGAGGGTGAAGAGAAAAGCATTTGATTAACTGAAATATTTCACATATTAAAATAATGCATTAATTACATGTGTTACAGTTCATACTAATGAAAAAGTTGTGTAGTACCTTGATTTTTTTTGTATAAGGATAGTTCAAATAAGCGTACACTCATCTATATCAAATAATTTTTTTAAGAGAAGTGACACCCAATGTAATAGTCACCTTTTGTGTCCCCAGATGGACAGATCTTTAGTTCAGGCTGTGAAATGGCTTCAATGTAGTCAGAGGAAATAGGCTGTAATCCACAGGCTTCTTCTGGGTGAATCAGCAAACCACAATCCTGCATTAAAATGATAGATAGAAATTAGCTGCAATGAACATGACAGATAGTAATAAAATCTAAAGAATAAGATTTTTTTTGTGCCAAATAAACTTTATAGATAAAAAGGAGCAACTGCTTACCCTTCTCACGGTATTGGGTTGTCAGAAATTGTTTGTGCTAGAAGTAGCTACTTGCATTGAGGGATAAATATAAATTCCAATGGCAATTCAATCTTTACTTTGGCATTGACATTCATTGTTGCATTAATACTGTCACTGATATTATTACTGCCCTGCCAGTTTTTAAAGAAATGGATGCAAGTTTTACTTTAAAAACATACCTGTGTGTTGTTGATTCATTAAAAATATACTGTATTAGAAGACCATATATCAGGTGAATAAAAAGCCATTAATGTGAAAAAGTGGGAAATATTTGAGGAGAATTAACAGACAAATTCCATTTCAATTCACATTTATTAAGGACCCATGATATGTCAGAAATGGAGTCAAATACACATATTTTTTTTCAAAACATGTTCATGTATTTATAAAAATAGGTAGCATCTCACTGCAGTGAGTATCATTGTAGAGGCACGATATGTACAAAGCAATTCATTCTCTAGTCTGACATGTGCAGTGGAGAGCAGCAGTTTGGCTCTGAAACCTCTCTTCAACTCTCCCCTATACTGGCAGGTTAGAATACTCTCATTTTCACTTAGCTTTTCCTTCTTCCCTTCCTTCTTTCCTTCCTTCCTTCCTTCCTTCCTTCCTTCCTTCCTTCCTTCCTTCCTCTTTTTCCCTTCCTCTTCTTCCCTTCCTCCCTTCTTCCCTTCCTTCCTTCCTCCCTTTACCCTTCCTCCCTTCTTTCCTCCCTTCCCCCCCTCCTTCTCTCTGTCTCATGCACACACGTGCTCTCTTTTCATTGAGGTAAAATTGATATATAACATTATGTGTGTTTCAAGCGTGGAACATTACAATTCAACGCGTGTACACACTACAAAGTGATCTCCTAGCTTATTCTCACAAGGTATTGGGACCTGTACCTTGCCTGTGTCCCTCCATCCTCCTTCACCTGATTCCACTGCCTCCCTTTTCATCAGGCTCTCACAGTCTATCATGTTTTGGGGCAGGTAAAAATGCTATTCTTTCTATCGGGAGTGCTTTCCCTCTCATTTTTCCTGGAGAGCGTCTTTTTGTGTTTTAAGTCTCAGCAAAGCCTTCTTGAAACTCTAGCATGATTATGTAGCCCCTCCCTAGTCCATGTCACCTCCGCTTGTTTCCTTCATGCCCTTCACCATTTGGTGATAATTTGTTATTTGTGTCTTTTCCACCAGACTGAATACTACATGAGAGCAAATAATTATTTCACTCACACATATACCCAGTCCCTACCATACAGTAGGCAAATATTTATTGGATGCATAAATGGTTAGGCTCAATTGTCTCTCACTTCATATCATAAATTCTCGGTAATGGAGAGAAATAATGAATGGGTTTGCCCTCCTCTTTGCTCTGTAACTGTCTCTAAGGAGCAATTTCTAGTCACCATCCCTCACCCTTTCACATAGCCTCACACCCAACTCAGATTTCCACATCTCACATGAGAAAGTTCAGGATAGTAAGGAACAAAAGGAACGAGGGTGATGTACAGACTTCTTAAAATCTTGATTCAGTATACATATTTCCATTTTTAAATTAATGAATGAAACTGGAATTTAGAATACTGATTAAAGATTAGGAAAGTGATTTGTGTTAAAGTGCTCCTTATAAAAATCAATTAAAATGACACAAAGTTAATAAATGTTGTGAGGAGTTTTTGTCTGAATAAACATCTATGTACAATATGTATGAGTGTGTGTGTGTGTGTGTGTGTGTGTGTGTGTGTGATATACATCTATACATTTATTTTTGGTGCAGGTTGGACCTTTTTTTAAGGCTAGAAAAATGACATTAAGCATTTACAGAATTGCAAAAAAATGTTTACATCAAACATTAGAGAAGACAATGAGAAATATCATTATACACTGTTGATGGGATTGCAAATTAGTTCAGCTACTTTTGGAGGAAAGTTTATACTAAAATAAAAAAAAAATCACAGACTCCATAGCCTTGATATCAGACTTCTCAGAGTCTCAGAGTCTTCTCAGAGATTTCTAAGACACATGATTGAGAAAACAACTCAAGAAATGCTTTGTTACAGAATAACATATGCCATGTGAAACACACCATGGACACGCCACCAAGGCACCTAAACTCAGGTACTTCAGACTGAGATGCTGTGTTCAATGTTTTAATAAAAAGATGCCTTTCAGTGCATATATATATATATATATATATTTATGTGTATAGATATAGATAGATGATGATGATCATGATAGATAGGTAGGTAATAGATACATAGATAGTAGATTGATTCATGCAAATAATGTTGAGACATTTCTAAAACTCTGGATTTAGATAAACCTTTGCCTGAAGATTAGTTTGTTTGGGATCTTTCTGGTGTACGTATGTGTGTGTGTGTTTATGGACAAATCCTAATATTCACACGGGGGGCATTAGAAAGTCCAGACCACAGCTGACAGAGTCCCAGCTACTCTCTGTTGAAGCCCAACATGTAATTGACATGGATCCATCACTGAGAAAAATGTACTGTTACATGTGCTGATCTGTGGGGGGCCCAGCTCAGTCACCGAATTAGTGGGTGTGGGCTATTTGGGGTGAGTTAGTCATGGGAGCTTTTCTGAGGTAACATCTGAACTGAATAATGGGAAAATCAGGGAATGAGAACTATGAGAAGAAATGTCATGTCAAAGGCCATAAGATAAGGCAGGAAAAGGATTTATCTGACATCTTAAGTAAAAAAAGAAAGTCATTTTTAAGGAACTCATATGCTGACAATCTACATTTTAATGATCAAATCACAGAATCTTTCTTGAGATGGCATCTCCGAGCTTGTCTACTACAAACTCCTACTCAGAGGAAGAACAATTAATTCATAACCTGGTCATAAGCATTTTTGAATACATCTTCAAAATGGAAAAGTATTAATACCTAGAACGTGCAAAGTGCCATGCTGAGAATGCAAATCCCTGACCTCACGTGGCACAGTCTAGCTCATTGTCAGAAGTGTCTTCCTAATCCTGCACTGAAATCTACATCTTATTTGTTCTAATTATCTTCATAGATGCAGCTTAAAAAAAGTTTAATAATACAGAAGCATGTTCTGACTTCAAAGCTTCTGAAACAAATGGACGGCAATATAGTATGGTAATCTTTTATTTATTTTTTTTATTTAAAACAAAAAAAAATATTTTTTAATCTTTATTTACCTTTGAGAGAGAAAGAGACAGAGTGCTAGTGGGGGAGGAACAGAGAGAGAGGCACATACACACAGAATCCAAGGCAGGCTCTAGGTTCTGAGCTGTCATCACCGAGTCCAATGTGGGGCTCGAACCCTCTAACTGTGAGATCATAACCTGAGCCAAAGTTGGATGCCCAACTGACTGAGCCACCCAGGCGCCCCAAGTATGGTAATCTTTTAAACTGTTCAGTCGGTTAAGCATCCGACTTTAACTCAAGTCATGATCTCATGGTTCCTGGGTTCCAGCCCTGCGTCAGGCTCTGTGCTGATAGCTTGGAACCTGGAATCTGCTTCATGGATTCTGTGTCTCCCCCTCTCTCTCTGCCCCTCCGCCCCCTCATACTCTGTCTCTCTGTCTCTCTCTCTTTCTCTCTGTCTCTCTCTCTCTCATAAAAATAAATAAAACATTACATTTTTTTAAATAAAATAAAATGAAATGTTTAGTGTTTGCACTTTCTGAATACCCAGGATCCCACGTATGAGCCTTTGATAATAGAATAAACATAATGTAGAACACAGAAAAGCAGAGTGGGAGGCAGACTGAGGGACCACTCCCAGACTGAGTGAACTTTGGCCTGTCTTTGTGTCTGAATTGCTACCTGGCATGGTGCTATTTCTGCCTCAGATGGACGCTCCCATCAGCTACTGTTCTGTGACAGTTGGTAGGATCAGACATGTTGGTTCTAACTAAACAGCCATGACTCTAGGAAATTATTTTTCTTTAAGTTAATTTATTTATTTTTGAGAGAGAGTGGGGAAGGGGAAGAGAGGGGGAAAGAAAGAAAGAATCCCAAACAGGCTGTGCACTGTCAGTGCAGAGCCCGATGCAGGGCTTGAACTCACAGACTATGAGATCATGACCTGAACCAAAACCAAGAGTTGGATGCTTAACCACCTGAGTCACACAAGCACCCCCTAATCTAGTAAATTCTAAGCACAGGAATCAAAGTAATATTGCAAAGGATAGATATAGCAGAGGTTAGGAGAGGGAGAGCAGATTTTAAGGTAAATGAAACTTAGTCATATTCTCCTTTCTGAGGTTTAGGTCAAAGAATATTCTATTGTATTCTGTGTTTCCTTTTTTATTTCTCCTTAGCAGTTAATCTTTGTTTGCAGTTCATAAATCTTAACCCTTTAGGTTAAAGTCTTCACTATTTTGGAAAGCCAAAGCAGCCCGCTGACGTGGACATTATTCATTTTCTGGCTGCAGCCAAACAATGTGACTCTTAAGGTTGAATGAGACAAGCATATGGCTAAATACAGACCTGAGTCTGGAAACAGAGTTGAGGGAGTAAGGAGAAGAAAAATGGTATCTGTGTAACTGGGTGGGCTCTGTGCACAGTTTATGAACTAAGAGAATAGTGGCATACATTGGAAAGAGCACCACTGTGTTAAGGGATCATACTTTCAAATTTTGGTTCCAGCTTTGCCATGAACTGGTTGTATGATATTGAGTAGGTCACTTGATCTAGTTTTCTCAACATAAAATGGGGAAGGGTGGAAGAAAAAGAGGGTGGGAATTGCATTAAATGATCTCTTAAGTACGGCAGCAGACAAATGTTAGGTGCCTACAGAATACCCATTCTCCTTTCCTCCTTTCTAACAAAAGACCTTTGTTTTCTTGTGCAGAACAACCTATCTAGCATTAAAAGAAGAAG